AGACTCTGACAGTTACCTTGAAAAAAATGAAGAGGAAGTAGCTCAATTCTCAGCCAACAAAGCTAACAAAGGTGAAGAACATTTTAAAAGCCAGGCGACACCTTTCATTTTATAGTGAGACACAATTTAAAATAAATTTCAGGTATTGTCCTTTGAAAACTTTGCATAACTTGCAGCAGAGAATTTTTGGTTTATCATATAAAAACAGCAAGTTAATGTCTTTTATGAATATGGTGAACAGATGGCAAATGAAACATTCAGTGTACAAAAATGCAGACCAACAAAGTATACCTTTAGCTGCCAGAAGAGACAGGTGAAAAACTAGAGAATAATGCAGAACACCCCAAAACCAGAAAAGAATCTTCAGCATTGAAATATGTAATAATACACAGCTGGAATGTTGTAATTCACAGGACAAAATACTTCTGTAAGTACCACAGTGCTACAGGTAGCAGAGAGGGGAAACTGAGCCTCTGTAGTATTTTTGAGGCAGTTTCCCTCCCCTGTAAGCTGCCTCTGTGAGCAGCTGCAGAGCCCAGGAGTGCAGGAATCAGAGCCACACCAGAGTCAGAGGCCAAACCACTGCCATGGGTGCTCAGGCAGCACTAAGCACGGGCTCTGCAGAGCACTGAACCACTTTATACCCTGCAACTCTCCTAGACCTGTTCACAAATTGTGCAAGCCAACAGTGAGGATGAACAGAATAAAGCCAAGCTCCACTGTGCAGTTACCAGAGCTCCCTGCTGTGGTGAGGATGTGATTTTAACTCAACTCCGACTAACGAAGATAACTTTGGTTGTCCCTACAATATTGCACTTCTTCACAGGATCTGGCCTCTAAGAGTTAAATTATGTGTAATAGCAACTGAAAAGATTCCTCAGCCTGTGAGGAACACTACATGTACTTAAAGTTCTTTCTCCTAAAACCAGACACCTTCAAATCCCTACACACACAACGGCCCAAATAAATAATTTTTGCTTCAAACAGAGAAACTGCACATCAGTAGTTAACGTATTTTGCAACCTTTATAAGGGGATAAAAAAAAATCACAACAGATTTCTTGCAGTCTGTACTACAGCTTTGGTTGTATTTGAAGTGTCAGACTCTGTGTCACTGGAAGCAGACATTCCCCCCGTGGTATTTGTACGCTGCCGACGCAACAGACACTCTGCTTGCCAGGGTCTATCAGCACAACTCCATAAAGACATGAAATAAGTGTATGTTTTAAGAAACCCACAGCAAAACTTCATGCATGATGCCTTTAATCAATCAGCTAAATAAATTGCATACAAGGAGTTTGGCTCCAAAGTGGCATCTGGCTGGATTAGTTTTCATTTTGCCTGCATACAGAGGCCCAAGGCATTCTGCTCCTGCCAGACCAAGATATGGCTCACCAGCAGGAGCTGCCATCTCCAGGCTTTCCAGAGCCCTCGGTGCTTAATGCCCAGGGCTGATGAAAAACAGCGTGTTAATGCCCTGCCAAATGTCACCTCTCTGCTGGGTGCTTGGGGTCCTCTGGCCAACCACCTCACAGCTGCTCTGCCAGCCATGGCCACGGCCCTCCTTCCAGCCTGCAACCCTGACCTGACTGATCTTCATTCATTCCAGGGACATGATGAGGACAAGTCAAATGCCACTATTTGAGGCAGGCAGGAAACACTGCTTCTGCTGGAAGATTTCTATGGGGATCTCTTCACTGGTGATGAAGTGACAGAGATCTTCTGAATTGTGACCTGCTCCGAGAAGCTGCTCTCCAGAGGGCTGCCCTCTCCTCCAGCTTTTGCTCCTGCCTCTTATTTGCATACAGCACATGCATTGCACCTGGGTTTTCAATGTATGTGCTACTTAAATCTCCACAATATCTCACAAACCTTCTTGTATGAAAATTGCTTTGTTGTCCATTAGTCACTATCAGAACTCTCAGAAACTTGATCCTCACAGATAATGAAATATGGCTGCTCCTCTACTTTTACAAGGTGAGCTTGTTGAGAGACATGCGGGCATCCCATGCACCTTCTCCTAAATTCAGCAGTAGATATAACAGGGGGTGAATTCAAAAATCCTTCTAGGTCCCTCTCCCATGGTACAAACATTTGGCAACTCAGCCCTTAAAGTTCAGAATACACAACTTTTGTAGGGAAGTATTGCAACACAGTATTGAGTTATTTAAAAAGTGCAGATCAACATTGCATGTATACTGTAGAAGAATTGGAGTAAATGAGAAAATTGGGAAAAAAAATGAGCTAAAAAAGATTTCAGAACTTCTTCCTTCATGTAAAACCACATGGAAAAATCGGATCAGAGTCTCACTGACTGTGCCAGCTCCCATCCTGGACCAATGGGCACTTCCAGACAAAGCAGCAACACATTCATCTCCTGTTAGTATTTCTCTGATGCGATTGATGTGTCCTTGCAAGCCATTTCCATGAAGTCTTTCATTGTTTCAGAGTAACTGTCTAAGTCTCTGTTATCCAGTGAAGGGAACCTCTAAGGCGTTAAAAAACTTTTACTATAAATTTTAGGAAAAACCAACTCAGAAATTGCCCTTGGACAAGGACATCAAATACTGGCATACAAAACCTGATTTCCTTAACTACTATCTAATTTAAATGATCAGTTTTGAGAAATATGTATCTTAAAAATAAGTCAGAGCACATAAAGGCAAACATTAGTTAAAGTCTTGCATAACTGATACTACAATACCCTCTTGTGGTCAAACAAAAAGGTTTTCTCTGCAATTTTTCCTCTATAAAAAGCCTCTCTAGGCATCTTTTCCTTTGACTCAAAGGAAATAGCTGCCATATTTCTGCCAGATGAATTTGTAGTGCATATTATCACTTGTCTTGTAAAACCAAAAGACTAACCTCAGTCAAGTTCTTCTTCAAAATGACAGGCCCTGACATTTTCTTGTCAGATTAATTAATCACAAAACATACTTCTAAGCAAAGGCCATCTTTGACAGTGACACTCATAATTATTTTTCAAGTTTCATGTCCCCAACCAGAAGAAATCAAGATGTTCTAAGCAGTTTACATTGATGCATGTGGCATGAAGCCACAATAAACATCAACCTACTGAATGAAAAGGTGTTCACAGTAAATCACTTGTACCAATTCAAATAAGCAAATAAAATACTAAACTGGTAAATGGGAAAAATGAAGGGAAACAGTTCAGTATCTGTGCCAGGTCTGCTGAGATCACTCAATGGCATAGATTTAAAACACATGCTTGTAATCTTTCTGTCCAGTTTATTTGGTAGCTGATAGTCACTTGGAGGCTAACCTCAGTACAACAACCAGTTTTAGCTTATTATTGTTTAATTTGCAGAAACTGACTTGAAAGAATAATCCGAATTAAAATTCAATCTGATACAGGAACTTTGTACACAAGAATTAAGAGGAACAGACTTTCCATCAGCATCCTTTTCTGAACAGATCAGGAGATAAAATCCCATGCCAAATGTGCCTCAGATTCCTTTTAAAGCAATCAGATGCTGCTAAAACACTGTTCTCCAACCAGCTGCACACACTCCAACTTGGAGAGGACCCTGGACCAAATGCAACAGGATAAGCAGATTTCACAAGAGGAACAGGGACAACTACTAGCCCAGGCTGAAGAGCACTAAATTTCTTCACTTCATGACAATGCTACGTGGCTACATGACTTCTTTTTCTTTTTGGCTGAAAGAGATTACACTATTGAACTATTCATATTTCAATTATCTCAGAAAAATAGCAAATAAACAAAAAGCTTACTAAAATTTAATTCAAAACCAAAGCAAACATAGGGTTTATAGGTGGAATTTACCTTTTCTTAAGTTACTATAATCTTCAAATTCAGAATAATTTTTCAAAAATTATTGTAGAATTGTAGAAGTATTTTTTGCTCAACTTGTCTACATGAAGTGTTTGGATTGTTGTATAATTGTAACTACTGTTAAAGAAATTATCTGCCAAATTCAGTATGTTTCCTAATACTGCAAGCAAATAAGTTTGCCAAAGTCCCCCTGAAGAAGTAGATTCAAAGTTCATTAGCATTTACCAGAAAGATGAAACAAGAGGATAGAATTCATCTGGAACTAATCCACACTACTCAAAAACAAGTCAGTCAAGAATTTCAGAGGAAATTTATACTTTTAATACTCTGTTTTCCTGCAAGGTCACAAATACTTGAGGAAGAGAGTTCATCCCACAGAAGTCTAACAGGCTGACTGCAAAGACAAACACTGACATTTTGGACACTGTTTTTAAAATTCTCACTTTTTATACTAATGACCCTTTATAGTTACTTAAAACCTTCTCATAGTTGCTTAATACCTTCTGCGGAACTCTCCAAGTGCTTAGAAAAGAATTTTTTAAACTTGAAAATAAGAAGCTTTCAGAACAGATTCCTTGAAACACTTAATTTTAACCAAACATCTCTGCCCCAAACAGAGTTCAAGGCCCCAGCAGCTGTCACACTGGGTCCCTGCTCCTCTTCTGGTATATATTCACAAGTCAGACGTTTCCAATAGAGACAGTAAACACACAGGGAAACCAGCAGCTTTCAGGAGCTTTTGCTTCTGCTACATAACCACAACAAAAGTCCTCCTGACTACTCAGCAGCAATCTCCACAGCACCCTTTGCTATTAAACCAGACTTTATTGTTCTGAGGATTTTGAATAGAGGCTGATCTCAGCTGCAGTCACTGTAATCACCTTGCAAGCTAAGAGTTTGCTGGCTACATCTGGAGATCTAATTGCTTCCAATTACAGTCACTTATGAAGCTGCTGTTACCAAGAAGACCCCGACAGCACTCAAGCAATGATGCAACATAAAGCAGTAGGAAAGGAGCATTAAATAAGAGGGAAGTAAACCAGTGCTGAGCACTGCCTGTCAGTGCTGCTGTGCATGTTCTTTTCTGAAAGCACTCCAAAGCAGCAGCTGAAAGAAAATGTCAGGAGAAAAGGAACTTTGAAAGTGCAAACAAGAATAGGTTTCACTTTCTGAGAAGTCACAATATGGCTCAAAAGGCTTGGTATATGGTGAGTCTCAAAATGGACAAGCTGGAAAGGGGTTCTGGAATCAGGAGAAATACTTTGGTTAGGTCTCAGCAAACAGGAACCACACCTCTGGGGCAACCAGCCCCAGCTCCTTCTGTGTCCTAGCAGCACCCAGCTGAGCAGAACTGGCAACCACTGCACAAGTGGCCACTGGGCCTGGGCAGACAAGCAGGTAGACCAGGTACAACAGGATAAGATCTGGAGAGTCTGTGGAGGCTGAACAGAGAGGAAGGAGAATCTGGTAAGTCACTTGTTCCAGTTCATGCCTCTTTGACTTGTCTTGACAATGGTCCTGATAGTCCCTGACAGGATTAGGGCTTGATCCAAAGCCAACACTATCAAACAAAATTTGCTGCTGCAGGGACTTTGGATCAGATCCTAATACCTTCCTTTCTAGGGTTACATTATCCCGCTCTCCTTCACTGGACAAAATCTGTCCTAATATCTCCAGCATGCTGGGCTTAAGCTGAAAATCGATGCAAAGAACTGCATGCTAAGTATCTTTTAGCTTTTAGAGATTTCCACAATGAAGACATAAAAGTGCCAAGCTTTATAATTTATTGCAGACACAGTGATATTATCACCTCTTCTCGTACTCTTGGAAATGGCTGAAATGGAAGCTGAACAGAGTGTTCTGCCAAAATACAATTTTGTATTCCCAGTCTGTAAATCTAGTGAACTTGCCCCATTGTTATGGTATTTCAGCAGACTGCTGCACACGTACAGCCTAAGCTTTGGCTGTGCACACACCAGTGACCCAAAGGAACCCGAAATTGAGATCCTGTCTCTGCCACATATCTTGAGTAAGTGTTTATGTTTATACTTCAGTATACATCATCATGTCTATTAGAAGAATATTCTTGGTAAAATTAAATTCAGCTCCATTTCCAGCTGCACACTGACCAAGCTAAAGGAAAGGGAAGAAAAAGAGTATCACTCTTGGGATTTTCTAAAATGGGAAATGAAACCACCCGAAAACCTTCACCCTCTTCAGCCTTCCAAAGGAGATAGAGATCCCAGCCCTGATTTCCCCAGAGAAATTTGCAGTTTGCAGTCTTGCCTGGCTCTGTTTACTTGAGGAACAGGCTGATGCCAGGACTGTGACGCATGCAAAGCCAGGGCAATGTTACTCTTTCCCAGTTCTGCTGGGACACTCAGACTCTTGCACAACAGGCTCAGCCTGTTCCATACTCATTCCCCAGCTAAGGCAGCAGGAAGGACTCTGTGCCTGTCCCTGGGGTTGACAGTCATGAATATTGGTGCAAACTCACTTTCATGTGTAATGTAACACATCATACAGCTGATGCATGTTCTGCTTTCCAGTTTTAGCTATGAAGACAGAAACTCTTGCAAAAGGGTAGGACAGGCTTGTGAAGAACAAGATGCCTAAAGATGGATTCATCAAACGACATACCCTATAGCCTGCAGGGGACTGTCCTTAAGTTCCACATTCCTGTCCCAAAAACAGTGATGGAGAAAGGTATGAAAAGAAAACCCTGGGCTCCATCCCCAAAAAGACAGCTTTTAGTACAAGGAATCTGCAGGTATAAGAGCTGGGCTGTACATGTCAAACTAAGCAGTTAAACAGGCATTCAATTATGATGAGCATGAACCAATTTATTTAAAGATAAAAAATTTTACACTGTATTTTTTACTTCTATTCCAAGGCACCAGATATGGAGTTTCCTAAAGGATCCTTAACCAAATGTTGAGTTTTGAACAGACATTTAACTGTCCCCATGCTCTTTTCAGTTTTCATCAATTGGAGCTATGCTAATATTTCAACTTGAAGCATACCTAGGCATTATTGGCAAATTCTTTACTACTATAATCTTTAGGAAAAATAAAAGAGCTGAAATGTTTTTCTCTGCTACCTATGGGTGTTCAGTCTGTTTTAATGTTAACAACTTGGCAAAAAGACAGGTGCTGGAAGAATCAACTTCCTAGGAGCAAATTTGTAAGATAATCATCTGCTGAAACCCAAACCACTTACTAAAAATAAAAGAAAAAACCTCCCACATCACAACCGTTCTAGAGCAGGGTAACTTCTGTCCCAGATAACATTTTATGCAACACATTTTAAAATTATTCATTTCCCTCAGTTATCCTATCATAAGACAACAGGGCATAAAACCCTCCCAATTGTTTTGCTTTATTTCTACAACACTTTCATGTACATTCAGTATGATATATTTAAGTACATTTAAATTCTAATTTCGAAAGCAGAAGTGCTGATATTACAAATTATTTCAGTAAGTTGTACTTTTGTAAGAAGCAATTCTTTCAATTTTGAAAACTTATTATGGTCTTTGTTTTATCCAGGGTAAGAGAAAGGAGCAGAAGCCACTGCCAAATTGTATGTCTGTGTTCCCAAGCAAAGTTCCCAACTCAACCAACCGAACTACTGGCAGCCAAATGAATACTGAGCTTGGCAGGGCTCTGGTAAATAGAAATTCTTCAGCAGTGCTGCGTGAGAGAGGAAACTTGAGGGTGAGCTCCAGCTTTCTTAGTGCTTCAGTAACAATACAACAGCAACAAAGCAAGTTCTTTCAAGGGTAAAAACAGATCTGGTCCAACAATGCCATAACAGAGGGTCCTCTTCATAGTTTGGGTGACTATGTGTGCCATATGCAGACAGCACTACAGATCTCATCCATGCTCCCATGCAGTAAGGATGCCACTAACATCTGAAAGAATGAGGTTACAGACAAAAGACCATTTCTTCCTGAATTTTATCTCCTGAAAACAAACAATAGAGGTCTGCTCAGATGAGTCACGACATAAAAAACACTTTTAGTTCTGGAAGCCAGCATGTCAAAAATACAGGAGCTTGTTTCATTTCATGTAGTTAGACAAGGATTCATCAGCTTCTGTCATCTGCATGCTTAAACTTGCTCTAAAGAATAATACTTAGGCACGTGAGACATGCTCTGTGCTTTTCACCACTCCCTGCTGAGGGAGGGAGACCAAATATTTTTCACACTAGTTTGCATTTTTGTTTCTGTGGATTTGCTGCTCTCCAATTCCTTTCCCTTATGCTTTTTTTCCTGGTTTAACACATGGAAACTCATTGACAAGGAAGCAGGCTTTCACATTTTGCTCTGAAGGCGTGTTGGCTCAGCAACCTGTCTTACACCCTCAGGATTGTCAACCTTGAATTTAACAGGTTCAGTCCCTAAAATCTGTGGTTGCCCAGGGAAACTATCCTCAAGCTAAATCAACACAACAATACGAAAATCCTGTTCAGCTAGTGCATCTTCATTACATAGGTTGAAACTTTAGGTCCTGTTGTTCTGTAGGGAAAAATCTGCAAGGAGCAGAGCATGGAGAGGGACATTCAATATCTGTCCTTTAAGCTGTATGTAACTTCTGCAGGATCATGCTCAGGCCTAAGTGGAGCTCAACACAGAAGCCATTAGCATTGTCTTGACACAACAGGCTGCAGTCTCTCACCAGACTGAGATGGAGATGCGTGCACTCATGCTCTGCAATTAAAGCTATTTGTTTTTATGATTAGACTTCAGTGGCAGAAGTCAGCTGAGCAAACAAGGTGACCACTGTGACCAGTGTGATCACTGATCCAAGCAGTCTCAGGCAAAAAAGAAGGCACTGTAGCAAGGTGAGCCAGGTCCCATCCCCCAAAGTCATGACTTCCAAGTGGTTCTCCTCTTGGCTTCCTCAACGCAGTGAGAACTGAAGGATCAGGGCTTTCAAGATGACAACTAAGTTACCTAAAGAAGGAAGACCACATCATACAACCAGCCCAGGTGAGGAAGGCGGATTCCACTCTGTGCAGACATGAATGATGATGGAGAACTGAGTTCAGACATACCAAATGGGAACCATCCTTTTAAAACTTCTTGTTCAGCTGAAACGCTTTCTGCTGCCTCCTGTGAGCAGAAAACTGCACCAGGAACTCATTTGTCTCCTGAAAGCAGGAGAGGAAAGAGCAGATCAAGACTTTTCTTGTCCTTGTGCTGTCCAGAGCTTTTTCTGAAAACTGCACAGGCCACTCAGAGGTTAGACATTTTCTGGTGATTGCATAACAGCAAGAGACATTGCCCTTGCATGCCTTACTCTGGGTCACAAACTTTACACTGAGTGCTGGATGCCCAGTATCTGTCAGGCTCGAGCTCCTACTCATGTAAGAACATTTCATTTGTAAACCTAGGGGATTTCGTTTTTCAGCATGAAAGCATACAGAGCTCCATGTTTCCTAACCTCCAGATGGCACTCACTCTACATCAAGTAATCCACCAGAAAGGAACATGTACTAAGGCAGTGCTTAGTGCCTTTTTAACGACATTGAATAATTCCAGATTCTTGACTCTGTTTACTGTCTGTGAATCCAGAGAATCCTTCTCCCAGAGAGTTCTTGCAAACTGGAGGGCAAGAGGATGGTCTAAGCAGTGCACGATTTAATCCTCCCACTTCAATTAGAAGCAGCATTGTTTCAACTGAAGCACTTCTGGTTTTTGACGAGACCTTCCATGTCTTTCCCTAAAGATATGGGCTGCTAATCAGAGTCTAGAGGAGCAGCGATGGCAACTGGAGTATGGGAAGACATGTCATATAAGGAAAGGTTAAAAAGACTGTTAAGTTTAACCTGAAGGGAAAAAAGCTGTCTTGGAAGAGGATAGCAGTCCTTAGATATGTGTGCATCTCTGGAGTAAGAAAACAAGTAATTTACACTTTGAGGGAGTGTCAGGCAGCAGCAAAAATAACAAGCTTAAGTTTTAGCATGGAAGAATCACATTAACTTTTTGGGAAGCTAGTAGTAAGGATAATACAGCATGAAACGGATTCTCTGAGGAATCTCCACCCTTGAAGGTTAAACACACACATCCATCAACAGGGATATATTTAATAGGGTTTGTCTTTTATTGTATAAATTGAATTGCTCTCTGAATAGCTTTTCACCAATTGTATGACAAACCAGAGCTTCTGGGAACAGTGCATATTTTGCAAAAATAATTTTTCAAAAACATTCACAAATAACTTTTTAAAATTCCTATTTTAATTATATCAGGCTTAAATAGATTTCATCTCTAAAATACAGATTAGTCACTTTTTTGATTGAAATATATTTTTAATTCTTCTAACTACTCATATAAGATACTTTTCACGAAGTCAGGATGTGTCTCTTTTAATCACATACATCTGAGAGGCTTAAGTGCCCTCCTGACAGCCACATAAGGATACTTCTCAAAGAACATATTATGTCATGTCTGTGAAAGGCAACAACCAATTTTTTTTTTTAAATTGATGAAGTCTTTAGTAAAAACATCTAGTCCTGTGTCCTGAATCAGATGAAGCAGCCATGGAGGTGCCAGGCATTTCTTGAAGTGGGGACGTGCAGCGGTGACGTGTGTACAGCACAGGAAAAGCCCTGCACTCCCCTCTGCTGTGTACTCCCTTGCAAGGTCACTTCAGGCCAACAGATCTCAACTGGAAACTCTGTAGGAATACCTGAAAAGGAGCCAAAGTATGCAATAATTTTGGGCTTAATTGTCGAAGAGTCCAACCTTGGAAAATGTAGCTCTATTCCTTGTTGTGAGATCACAGCAACCCACAACTGTGCTGACTCTTTTTATGTGCAATTAAGCTAATATCTTGACTTTCTGAGTCAGAGTTCAAGCTAATTGAAATTACTCTAAAATACTAGTGGGCAACAACTGCATAGGACCAGCTCTCTTCACCACAGAACTCCAATTCATTCCTATTTCCTTTTGAAATCAATCACAACTCTTTAGCATTTTGACATTTTAATGATTAAGGGGGAATGTCTTGAGAACCAAACTTTCCTACATGGAATAGATCAGATAATCTGTGTGATATGGGAACATTGTGTAGAACTGGACATCAGATTTTGTTAAATTATTGCACTTTCCCTAATAATTACACATAAATTATGTCAATGCAATTAGCTCTCCAGCATTACAATTCCAAAGTTAGTTTGGGCCTCTCCATGTACAGCAACCTCCAGAAGAGACCTTTTGGGAATATTCAGGGTCCTAATAAAAACTGCCTTAGCACCTGCAAGTAGAAGGCAGCAAACAATCTCTAGACTCCAATTTCATCCCAAGTTTAGCAGTCATTTTTCTTTTACAGTAATTAACTTTGCCAACTAATCCTTATTTATGTAAGCAGAGTGTTTTAGAAAGATTGACTTAGCTTACATTAGTAGCGAAATCTGTAAATAATCAGTGGAAATTATATTTACCAAAGAGACTGTGTAGATATTAAACTGTGTGGTAAGTTACTTGTAAAGCATTCTTATGGTGTATAACTTGGGCTTCAGTTTTATAAGCTTCCCTTTTGTTGCCAGATCTCAAATAAGGGATTATCCATGTTTAGAGAATTCATTTTCTTTATTTCTTTCAGGCACAAGTGGGTAGCTATATTGATTTAGTTCTTCCCTTAGTTATATACTGCTTTCTCTTCTATCTTTTTGAGTATAGTTATAATATTTATAATGTGAACATGATTCCAGTACATCTGGATTTTGTGTGTTCTCATTTTGAGTTCATTTAAATTTAAAAAGTGTGAAATATATTTTTAAAAAACATAACATACGTAAGTTCATATAAATCTATGTTTCTTGTGCTTTTAGAACAGTCTTTGTATATAGTTCCCAGATGGCACCTTAACTATAAAGTTTCATTTAATAAGGTTTTTTTATGACTGTTAATCCAGTTGTTTCTTAGAAACTGTATTTAAAACTTTTTCTTGACCTTTAGATTACTTTAAAGTAAAAAAAAAAACAAAACAGGTTTTCCTACAAAGGTCTCATTATGCTGTGAGACATATGATGATGCTGACAAGGCATCATGTGTTTGTATGCAGTATGTGCATACATATTCACATTCCTCAGCTTCTAAAAGAAATCAATTTCTTTTCAGAAATTAAATCAGAAAACAGCTTTTTAAAGTGGGGCATTTTTTCTTTTGTTGGTTTTAGAAACCAAAAATAATCTGTCAGGGCCTCAAGTTTCATTTCCTAAATCGTGCACAGATACAAACCACTGAATGCTACCCTTAAAAACTCTACTTGCTAGTCTGAATCCATGTCAGATATGTTTTCCTTCTTCAGAAAACTTCATGTTTGCGTCAATGGAAGACAGATGGGTCTCCATGTAACTTGGGAATTCTGCTGAAAGCTGAAGAGATGCTGGCACAGGCCTGCTCACAGCCTCTTCTGTCACAGGGCATGGACTGACTGACTTCAGCTCGTGACCTCTCCAAAGCTGTGTGAACCTACGTATCTGCACAACTGCCAGCACTTAAAAATGGAATTTCCAAGTGTCTGGGGTTACAGCCTCATGTCAGCACAAGGCCTTTATGACAGGTTGATGGAGCAAAACTACTGCAAATTTCTATTAACTGTCTCTTAACCCAGAGGAAATATAATGACTGGCATATAATGACTGATAAATTGCATTAAGAAGTAATGTCCAAATAAACTGGCACAATAAATATAAAAATGATGACATTTGGGTTTACTCTATGAC